TGCCCCCATCCCGGGCTGGCTTCACTTTTTCCTTAGCTCATAGTTAAACTGTAAATCACACGCCCTGTGGCTGAGCTCAGACTGCCTCCTGGATGCCTTGCCCAGTTCCTCTTCCAGATCCTTATCTTAAAAGATCGATGCTTGCTAATTACAAACTCTACCCTTAGCATTTTTCCCAGGTTACCCCCCAAGATTCCCGGATCGCTGCAACCACAAGACATACTATGATAGAGGGGACAGAGGGGGGCATCATGAAAGGATGCCTTCTCAGACCACCAGTGCTAAACGCTTATTCTGTGCCCAACTCCTGTGTCCGTCTACTGGCTGAGCAGAGCAATAGGCAGCACGAGCCCATTGCTCATTGCCCCTCCGGTTACAATATAAACTAAGCTTAAGGAAGATTTGAACAATAAACGAATAGCATCAGCAACAAGGATTAAGCTGTATTAGCTGCAAAGTATTTTCATATCTCAGCTTCACTTTAGAGGGCCCCATGCGGTAGGACATCGTTTCAGACAAGAAATTACAAGTTCCTCTAGACGGGAGCGGTGGGTAGGAGTGAGGACAGGGCTCAAGAGCCGCTGAAAGGCCTGGAGCACACGTTTCAGAAGCCTGGCTTCGCTTCCACGACGAGTGTAGGCGTGGGCGAGCAGCAGATGAGGCCCAGGGGCACAACAGGCTGACAGATCAGAGAGTGAGGACGGCCAGGGAGGCCACCCAGATTGACAGGATGGGGTGACCACCCAGCGGTAACGACCGTGCCGACCATGACCAGCCGGCGTGGGTAACCTGGCCGGGGGTGAACGCCCCAGGGGAGCCAGGCCGGGGATGACCGCGGTGCAGAGCTCCCGGGGGGGACAGCGCGCTCCGTGGCCCCTCCCGGGTCCCGAACACCTGCACCCGGGGGCGAGCCTTACGATCGATGCAGGAGACCAAGTTCCGGTGGCCACCCTCGGAGGCCCGGAGACCACTGCGCATGCAGCAGAGCCGCGCTCCGAGACGCTGACAGCTGCTCAGCAACATAGCTGCCGCTCCTGCTACAGCCACAGCCTGAAAGCGCGTGACCTCGGCCGTCCGCGCTCTGTCCTGGCCGCGAGGCGGAGACCCCATCCCGACCTCGCCCCACACAGCATTCTGGGAGCTGTAGTGCAGCTCCCCATGGTCCGGATTCAAAAGGGCTTGCGCTAGGAGCAGGGACTACAACTCCCAGAGATCTCCGGAGTCTGGGCGCAAGACAGACATGTCTTGAAAGCGCTGCCGGGAGGCTGTGCACCGCCTTCTGGTGCCTTGAAAAGCTTGTTGGGGTGGTGTCTGCAGAACTGTGGGACCGGTTCAGTGAGAGAACGGTGAACGAATGAGAAGGACCAAAGAAACCAAGCAGAATTTAGGGGCAGGTTATGCGAGATGGAAATGGGGGCGTAGATAACTAGGGGAAGTATTTGAGGGGCTCAAACCCAGTTGTCTGTGTTCTTCGCAAAAGACCCTTGGAGGCTGAAACCCTCTAAGTTTCCTTTCATTGTCTCCATCTGACTACGCAGGTTTCTGGGGGGCAGATACAGAGTTGCCTGTAGTATCCGTCGGTAGATTCCAGAACCTTCTGCTCTTCAGCAGGGAGACCATGCCGAGACCCAAGAAGAGGCTGGCTGGGGCTGCTAAGCCAGGTGAGCTGCACCTAGGCGGCAAAAAAGCCGCCCCATAAAAACGTTTCTCTAGGTCTGTTTAATACTGTTCACTTTCGACTCCCTGCTTGTGGGGAGAATCCTTTGTAGATTATTTTTCGTTTGTTACTCCTAATCGTCCTCCATCTTTACTCTTTCCACCAAGCTTGTTGTACCCAGAGTCCCTTCGGTTTGTTTGTTCGTTTAAACAATAGCCGTTTTGTAAGCAAAGACATCTGCAATACAGGGTGGCATGCACCACTAAGCTCAGTAATACATAGTTCCTACCCTTGGAAAATGCACAGACATGAGTGAAAGGGTCCCGGAAACTGGATTGCTAGGTGTGTGAGAACAGGGAGGAATCACTTGAGAAGAAAGTGGAATTTGAGTCTAGCCTTCAAGAATGGGAAGAGTTTCCACAGGCAAAGAAAACAAGGTATCATTTTTATATTCACAGGGATAAATGGCATCTAAGTGGATGAAGAGTAGGACAAAGCAATTAAAGGTAGAGGGACTACAACACAGTTATTTAATAACACATACAGTATTTACAATGTGCCTATTGACTCTAAAGGGACCACTAGGAACTAGGCTAGGAAGGGTCAGAGTATTAGACATCCATTTNGCTCACGGCAGCTGCTGGCCGCTCACGCTGGCTGCCGATTACATACAGTAGCTTATGGCAGCCCACTGCAGCAGGGGACTGCAGCCCAGCCATCGCCAGCGACTCACAGCAACCCACGGCAACCCAGCTCCAGGTCGAGCTGTTGCCCAGCATCTTAGCTGTGGAGGGCAGTGTCACTGGCCCTCATATGTGGGATCCGAACCGGGGCCTTCTGGTGTCCCAAGCCAGTTCTTAACCAACGTGCCACTTGGCCGGCCCTCATGAGTGTCTTTAGTTGTGCTGTCGGGACTGCCTCGATGTCCTGAATCATTTTGACTTTGGGGAAGAGCCAGAAGTCACACGGTGCCAGATCCGGTGAATAAGGCAGATAAGGACACACACTGTTTTTATTTGACAGAGATTGCCGTACCAGAAGTGATGTGTGACATGGAGCACGGTCATGATAGAAGATGATTTTGGGCACACTTTAAAACACACATTCTCTCAACCATAGCTCATACCTGACTGACTGCACGGAACAAATTGAAACTTGTCACACACTGTTACTAAAGTTCAATGCGCTGCTTCCCATATTGAAGATCCCTGCCTTTCCCTTGGATGGCACTCGGCAGCAATATTCCCTGTCCTTTGTGATCACAATGGAAAGGCTCCATGTCACACATCACTTCTGGTATGGTAATTGCTGTCAAATAATAAAAACATGACAGTGTGTCCTCCTCATCCACCTTATTCACAGGATCTGGCACCGGGCGACTTCTGGCTGTTTCCCAAAGTCAAAGTGACCATGAAAGGTAAACGTTTTGAATCTAGTCAGGACATCCAGGCAGCCATGACAGCGCAGCTAAAGACTGTAAAAATGTAAGGGGAAAAGAGAAAAATGTAGGGCTCTGTATTATCCAAGGTTTTATCCAACAGTGCTAAAAACTGGGGTCATTCTGGGGTGATGCTAAAGAGCACTACGTGAAGACCATGGGGCCACACTCCACAATAATTTATTTCAGACCTAACACTGATAAACATCCCTTCCAGCAGAGAATAAGTTCCGGTGGCAGGGTCTCTAGGGCAGACCTGGACATCTCCTGTGAGAGGCAGGAAAAAGTGGTCTGTCTGTATCAGAACTCTCATTCAAACGCGATACTCAGAAATGAACGGTTGTGAGGATTAAAGATGTGGCTACCTTGAGAAGCCCAGAGCAGAAACCTATGTGGGGTGCTACTCTCAGGAATATCATTAGGGATAAACAATTCATGGTTCCCTGACTAGGAGTCAGGTCATTTATTTGCACTATCTTGCAGAAATGCTCCTGTAGATCACAGTTTAAAGACCAGTCACAAAAGAATGTCTACTGCAGAGCCTTGCTGGAGTTACAAAGATGAATATGGTCTTTGTATTCACACAAAGGATGACATAAATGGTAATAACGCAAACATCTTATTGTGT